ACACTTTTAACAGAACTCAGACTTTACCCAACAATGACAAGGTAAGAGTGACAAGCATAAAACGGCCTACAGATTATATATGTGTTACAAAACGCTGTCATTGCTTTCTATTACTGTATAGTTCTGTATTTTTCTGAATGTCTGAATATGTTTTTACATAAAACACGCGTTGGTGACAAAACAGATCTCTGGCATTGTCACGTAAGACTTTAAAAATGGTGACGTTTTGTATCAGTCATCGTCGTCAACGTAAGCCGGTCTGTTCGATTCAAGGTAGCTGTCTTTGGTGGTGAAGGCCAGAACTAGTCCGACCCGGTAAGACGATTGGTGTAGGTATAAGCTTTGTGTATTCCATAAAGGAAGCTGAAGTTGATACTTCTTGACCTTAGCTGATAATAATGTTACTCTGATTTTTTATTTTACTTATATACTTTTATTCACGCAGTTGTTAAGTGTCACGTTCATCATCTCTCCTTTGACATTAACTCGGATACATGTCTGTTTTTGGTGGCGCAAAGTATGCATCATATGCGGGCGATTAGTTCGCAGTGTTTCCTTGGTATTGTTTCTCAAAGTCCATTCATTTATTTTCTATACAAGAGACTTGTGTTCAGGTTACTTCCCTGAGGCATATATGCCTGCCTACTCCTTGTTTTTTCTTACAATGCTTTCAGTTTGCTTTAATGGCGTTTATTTTGAGCAACTCAACAAAGATCCCTCAATATTTTATAATTCTACTGATATTTTTTGCTGTTGCATTTACGGTATATTGTAAAGGATTGCCTGGATTACATTTCAGTCAAACATATAAGCATGCCAATCACAAAACTGTGAGTTGACCCTCATTTTGAAATACATAAAACATTGCACGACCAGAGAATACAACAAGTTAATTCAATGTTTCCCAAAAGCCACGTGATATTTCCTGGCGTTATGTTCGTTATAAAATTGTCCTTTCTTGCTGAGTATCAAATGGAGATGGCTTGTGTGATGTTATGCTGTATTTTCTCCTGGTTTGTAATGTAATTAGTCCACAAGGCCATAGGAGGGCACTATAGACCATAACACAGATGATTTTACTTAAATCCCCAAGCCCCTCCCAGATAAAGAACGTGATGATGTCTTGTTGGGCTTTGACACAAAGAGACGCAGAAGCAGAGAGAGAAGGCGGAGACATCAGCCGCATTGTGGACAAATCATAGGAAAAAGGAACACAATTTGAGTCAACACTCGACATCTAAAAGACTTGTTTCTATGTTCGTTTTACGTCGGATTGGATTATGTTTTCGATTGATAGGCTTCCTGTAGTGGCATACGTGGTATTGGTGCTGCTGGACTGTCACTGGGAAGCGGTGCACGGGCAGCTCTCCTACTCCATATCAGAGGAGGTGAATCCGGGGACATCTGTAGGAAATATAGCCAAGGATCTAAACCTCAATGTCGATGATCTGGAGTCTCGTATGTTTCAGATTGTGACCGGAACGAAGAGAACATTTTTCGAGGTAAACTTAAAGACTGGTGTTCTTTATGTCAGTGATAGAATAGACCGAGAGGAGCTCTGCGCTAAGGCAACGAAATGCACGGTGAGCGTAGAGGCTGTGATAAATATTCCACTGAAGCTCTATCGTTTAGAAATAAATATTCTAGATGTTAATGACAACTGTCCGTCTTTCAGTGCCAGTTCGCAAAGTATCGAAATAGCCGAAAGCACACTACCTGGTACTAAATTTCTTATGCTGTCGGGACATGATGCTGATGTAGGAAAGAACGGTATCAACACATACAAGCTAAATCAAAATGAACATTTCTCATTGTCGGTAAACAAAGGAGATAGTCTATCTGCTGAGCTAGTCCTCCAGAAACCTTTAGACCGAGAAAAACAATCTGTAATTAATCTCACATTGACGGCAGTAGACGGAGGGACGCCCCCAAAATCTGGAACATCGGAGATAATAATAAATGTCTTAGACGTTAATGATAACACCCCAAGCTTTACAAAACCGTTGTATAAAACAAGTATTATTGAAAATATACCGCTTGGTACATCAGTGATTACAGTAACTGCAACAGACGCAGATGAAGGACCAAACGGGGAAATTTCATATTCACTGAGCAGCAAAGATCAAGACCATGTTTTGGAAATATTTCAAATTGATGAGCACACGGGCATATTGACAGTTAAGGGAAAGATTGACTTTGAAGAGCACCCGGCTTTTGAAATCCGCGTGCAAGCTAGTGACAACGGCTCTCCTCCAATGGCAGCACAGTGCAAAGTACTAATAGAGGTTGTGGATTTAAATGACAACACTCCTGAAATATCTGTAACATCATTAATAAACAGAGTGAAAGAGGATGCAAAAATAGGTACTGCTGTCGCACTTGTGTCAGTCCTGGACAGAGATGGAGGTAAAAATGCAGCAGTTCATTGTGATATTCACAATGACAGCCCCTTTAGGTTGGAAACAAATTATAAAAACTATTACTCTTTAGTGGTAGACGGACAGCTCGACAGAGAGACTGCTTCACATTATGATGTCACCATCACAGCTACAGACGATGGAATCCCTGCTCTCACAAGCACCAGCGAGCTTACCGTTCATGTTTCCGATGTCAATGACAACTCGCCTCGTTTTTCAGAAAGTTTGGTCAATGTTTATTTAAAAGAAAATAGTCCGGTTGGTGCGGTTGTAAAAACAGTATCTGCAGTTGATGCAGATATTGATCAAAATGGTCAGGTGAGCTATTCAATAATCAAAAGTAACAGTAACACATTACCTCTCTCGACAATGGTGAACATAAACTCAGAGACTGGAGACATAGTTAGTCTGCAGTCTTTTAACTACGAGGAGTTAAACACGTTTCAGTTTAA